ATAAAATTACCAAGATCTCACAGGTTGTTTGTGCTTTGTGTAATTTAAACTTAATTAAACATCCTATTCGTAAATAGAAAGTATGAAAAATTAGCTAGTGTATTGAACAAATATTTGATAATAAAGCTGTTCTGGTGTACTTTAAGTTTAACTTTCTATATAAGAGATGATATACGTTAAGAGATTAGCTGCGAAGCACTTTAACAAAACATCTATAAAAAAAAAGTATTTCAACTCTGTTTTCAATAAGACATTGAGCTCAAACAACGATAGATTTTTAGCATCGCATGTATAGTATAAATAGTAAAAAAATTACCTGCTCTTAATATTTGAATAAGGCTATATAAGCAAAAAAGAAGTCGGGGTATCCTATGGCGGAGCACGCCCATATATTCCTAAGCAATCATATTCAACGATTACGTACCTCGCTGCCCAAATGATTGTTGAATTATTGGTTATTTCTTGTCATTGTTCGCTCTTTTGTATCTTTAGTCCTAACTTCCATTGATACATTTCTTTTGTATGTTTGCGCCGAACATCACGTCCATAGTTGTATGGTGAGGTTGTTGGATTGTTTCAAAATAGTGCGGCGTAATAAGCATTTCGCAGATCTAGTTCCATCATTATGCGTCTGTACCTCATAGAAGAATTATTCAAGAAAAGTATGAACCATTTTTTTCGGTGATATAATGACAGTGTATCATTATTATCAATAACAATAGGAAAAGATGATTCATTAAATTCATCATCTTGCTCAGTTAACGATGACGATTGATTGTATGATTGTTTTGACATAGAAAAGTTTGTTCATTTAACTTTCACTTAAATAAGAAATTTTGTTCTGATCTATCGTCGCTCACTTCTCACACATTTTATATTATTAAATTTTCTTTCCTCATTGACGCCATGTTCCCTAGTCGAACATCTTGTAAGCAAGATCTTGAAATCTTAAGATCGGTAAGCAAGGTCTTATCAAGATCTTGAAAAGATAATTTGTATGTACATATTCTAGTTGTATCAGATAAATCTGTACCTAAGATCTTGGCAAGATCATGAAAAAGATATCGTTTACTATTGTCTTCTCACAAGATCTTGAGTAAAACAAAAAGCGACATCATTCGTGTATTATTACATGCTGACTAGTCATTCACCGTTTTTTTATGCATACATAGCGGTATATACACAACATGATTGAACATACAAGATATAAATTTTAAAAATAATTTTTTTTCTAAATTATTTCTCGACTATTGATTATTTGAGAAAATGCTGATCTTGATCGATGATTGAGAGAGGACTACCCTGAAGTGGTCTGACGGAGATCGGGCCAATTCAAAGCTAGTCAGGTTTCAGCATCTGACTTGCTTGAATTATTCCGGACAGAAATAATTAAAATAAAAATAAATTCCAAAAATATTATAACATGCGTTTACAGAAAAAAATAAAAAATGCGCTATATGATAGGTTCGAACCATCATGGCGCATGCAACACGTTTTATCTTAGTGTGTATTCAAGATCTTATGGATTCGTAGCTAAGATCTTACACATCTGTACCCAAGATCTGTAGTCAGATCTTGGTACAAGATAATAGGATTATCTTGTACCTAAATTTTCAAGATCTGTTCACTTATCTGTACCCAAGATCTTGGCCAAGATCTTACTTATAAGATGTTCGACTAGGGTTAATAAAAACTCATGCTTCTTGAAAAAATATCGAGCCTCACACTGTTGCTCGATGACTTCAACTCAGTTTTCATAATTTTCATGAAAATCGACTGTAGTGAAGGATATGGGTGGGGTGCGGGTGTGATTGTGGGGGTGAGAGTGGATGTGAGGATGGATGTAGACAGCTGTACAAGAAATATCCACATCTACATACACCCACATCCTCGAAATTCTGTAGTAGTCAATCAAAAACAAGTGCATTTGTCTGACTTTCTAACTGTAGGAAAATTTACATAACATCTAGCCTATATCTACAATTCTTAAGGGTACCATGTACGAGAATGCATCTCATGAAGAATATATTTCAGGTGATTCTTTTAGATACAGAAAATAAATAAATAAACTTAAAAATCATCCCTTTAAACGTCACGAGAGAAATTAGACACCAATCGACGATGTAAAGTAATTGAATTTGAGTAGGGTCTGAATTAGTTTCTTAAACGATGTAATCTAAGGACGAATTTTTTTTTAGAACAAATTTGCAATGTTGAAAATTCTGTTGAACTTAATCGAATATTGCCCTAGAAAATCATTTTCTTCTTCTCTCATTTAAAATCAAGTAATTTTACGCTCATATTGAAGCAAGTTTTCAGATAGGTTATCAATTGGTTGTGTGTATTCCGATGTTACAATAAATACACTCGTTCGTACTATTGAAAATAGGAGTGTGGTATTCCTTTTTTTGATTTTTATTTACCTGAAAGAGTTGGATTGGCTGACGATGGAACTATAACAGGTACCGGTTGTAAAAGTGGAGATGGTGGACAAGTTTCTTCCAGTTAAATAATGTGAAGATCACCTTGATCAAGACAACTAACAACTTTGAATTAAGTTGCCGCCATCAAAAGTACTTCATCTTCAGTTGCATAATATGAATGTTTGCGAATATCTCTAGCCGAGTGGCATTTCAAGCTAAATATTGTTCTATCACCTGTAGTTCCCAAAAATAGGTTCGATTCCAGAACACCAACAGATTCGGTGCACGATGAGAAACCTCACCAGACGATTGTTTTACCTTTGATATAGCGTTTGCTCAAATCTAACTTAACACCTCTGTAAACATGTGTTGAAAGCAGTGGCAAACGAAAGAGTGCATTTAGAAAAAGTCTCAAATAAAGATACCAAGGTATCAGTTTTTGTTGTCGATCTGTTGCTCGTAATGTATTATTTAAAACGCTGTAGAGGCATTTCTCGAGCGGCATCCATCCCATCGTGTATAGCATAATTGAGGCCGATTCATCTGGGGTCAGCCCATCAGCAGGTTTCTCACATCTTTTTTTGGCGACATATGCGTGGCTCTGAACTTCTGGCAGGATCGGAACAAGTGGTTCGACTGCTTGCTCCAATGAAACAAGGGGTTCTTCAGCATAGCCACTAATAGGTGCAAGATATTCCAGTGGCTTCAGGTCAATGTCTGTAATCCGTAATATACGCTGTGCTGTTGCATCTTCTCCTCCTCCTGTTGCCATGTTCAACGGAAAGAAAATTCTTCAAGAAATGATAAAATAACTAATATCTACAAAGTAATAGAAGACAACTTTCATTAAATTGTTATATTCAATATGACACATGATTCAAGATCTGTAATATGTCTAATATCATTTCTGATATTCACGTGTTGATATCTTCTGATGCTGTTACCAAAGTAATTTTTAACTTTTTTTATCAGATTGTTAATATGATAGAGAGACGTATCTAACACTCATTACACCCAATATTCTTAACTATCAATACTTCGTTATCTAATTTTATTATCTGTTTTCGTTACAATAAGCTTGATTAAAATATAACTATTTCTCCTGAGACTTTTTCGAAATATTATGTCTTTAATATCTTAATGAATGAACGACTAGATTCGCTGAAAACTTCTTAATATGTATTTGTTTAGAAAAATCCTTGCAGACTTTGGATACGAACTATCTAGATATTACACATCTATGTTCTAAAATAAATATAGAAAATGATCGATAAAAAATTAATCTATACATTTAGCTAGAAAAAATATATGTATGTTCAAACATCAGGTTTACAGCAAATTATTCATAGTCAGAGCTCTTTCTCTATTAGAGATATCTCATGTCGGAAGGAGATTGCTCTTTGTTACGATTGATGATGAGGACGATCAAGTTTGAGTCAAATGAATATTGGTATCAAATTATTATTCGCAAAAAAATTGTGTCATCTTTTTCGAAAGCTGCAACTTTCCAGAATTCCATATGATGGTTCACTAGTGTTGTTGTTTTTAAAAAAGAAGTCAGAATAAACTAACGAAGCAATGTATGTTTCTTAATTGAAATGTCTTCGGGACTGTTAAAAATCTATCGATATTTATTTATATATATTCAATTTAACGACAGACAATCAAGAAAGAAATCATCTTGCCTTGTTCATTTCAGTAAAATATCTCAAGATCTCTTCATATTACTTTCCACATCAAATATTTTTTCAAATGAAGACTTTTTTCTATGAAACATGAATGAAATTATTTAATCATAGCATCATAATTAAAGTCACAAATTCAATTATCCTTAATATTAAAATCGATTGATAATAGGTCTTGTTTTGAGAAAATTATAGCCAGATGTCGATTGATTACTATACGGAAAGAAAACTTTAATGTTATTCGATTAGAATGTTGGATTTAAAATAGAATAAGATGATCGATGATCTCAGTTGTCAAGCATTTGCCATTATCAGAAACTTTATTTGTTAAATAGAACTTATTAAGAGTTAAGACTAGATAAAATATACGTAGAATGTGTTCTATCAATCATTCTTCTCAAGTTTAATCTAATTTATCAATATTTTTGTTTTTTTTTATGGCAGCTAATACAATAGAAGATAACAGTATTAGCTATACTAAAATGAGAAATGAATAAAAATTTGTAGATAAAAGAATTATGTGCTGTCTTGTCTTTGTGATGATCAAACTGTACTCTGTTAAATAGAAACTAAAAACATGTAATTACATGAGATTTGAAAATAAACTTAATTTGATAGAGAATAGCAGAAAAAAAATCTTATTCTATAAACTATTTCATGATGTCCAAACGACTCAATGTCTAGGATTAAATGCATTGGCGATTTTGAACGAAGAGTTGTGCTTTTTCAATATGAGAAACTACAAAGCTGTCTCGACTCTTCATTCATTATACATAAACATGACGGAATCACATCCCCTTCCGTGGACAAGCGCTTATCTCTTTTAATTCCAATGGTGAAAGAGAAAAGGATAGTAACAGACTTGACTTCCAAGTATTTTATTTTATATGCCTCAACTAGTCAAATATTTACTATTTGATTTGGACAGATAACTCCATTAATAGAAACTATAATCTTGTTTCAAACGTTAGTTGTGACTAAATTTCACTGAAAAAGAGGTGTTGATATTATGAATAGAGTGTTCTCATAGAAATCTTTGGATGTGGATGGGTGTAAGCAACGAAAATAGCCATGATCAAATCTAAACACCCTCAAAATGTATACAAGTTAAAATACGGAATAGATTTCTAATTAAGAAAAAATGATCAATAAATCAGATAAACGCAAACTTATGATGGATATAGATTTGATATTTGTTTCGATTATTCGTTATCAATATTCTAGTCGCACATCCATTATATGTGCAACATTAAAACAAACTTGAAAACTTGCTTAGAAGTTACGGTTGGAAGTTACTTACCAGAATGCAATAATCAAAATGAAATTTCTGAAAAAATAATTTAATACTAATAATTTTCAACTTGGTTGAATTTTTTATATGTAATGTGCGTCGTTTATCTGTCAAAGGACTTTTTCATTACTTTTGCCACATAAAGGAGCTTTACTTATCTTATCTTTCTTTTTTCTACTTTGTTTTCTTTTATTGCCGTCAAGCACACTTTTTCTTTAGACTTATTTGTCATGAAAACAGAAAAAAATCAACATAAAAAAATACACCAGTCATGATGACAAATAAATAATACCTTTCTAATGAAATAAAAGCATCAGTAGTTATACGCACACCTATCCAATTTTAAAATCTTCTATTAAAATAATAAATTTTTTATTTTTTGTTAAACATAGCTCCATATGATGCTATTAGTATTTATATTCATAATAAAATTTGATCTGCATTTGAATTAACATATTTATTTGACATTTATTCGTTATCGTAACTGATTTAATTAAAACAAAAACTAAAAGT